TAATGTTACCTCATGATTTATTTAAAACATAAGTATAGAGTTAATAATTGTATTATAAATATCATTCATTGTTATAGCTTACTTGAAGGAATGCAGGCCAACTTTTTGATGTTAACATCTCAAATTATGCAAACTGTAAACAATTTATAAGTGGATTCGTGCTTTTTCTCACAAAGACAAGCTCATCTTATACTTAAAATCAGGGAACAAAAGATAAAATTGTTCTCTACTTTATATTTTTGGCTTTATTTCTTTGAAATGATGAAACAACTTAGAATGCTTTCTAGCAACTTCAAAATATTAAAGTGCCCAGGGACAGGATAGGGATGATGTTTTGAAGGCAATAAATATTTCAGCTTCACATTTCAGTCTTTCTTCTTCGTTCCTTTGATCTGGCTTTGGTTTAGTTATCATTCCGCTTGGATGACTTCACACTGTCTTTCTTCCTCTCCACACCAAAAAGCGTTCTGCACATATGCCGTGTGTCTGGGGGCTGGCGGAGCGGGAGAGCGCGCGGTGTTCCTCGCCGTTCGGCGGCGATGGCGCCGCTGCGCTCAGGTGCTCCAGCCGCAGCGAGGCTGGGCCCGCTTCGGCCCTGCATGTCATTTGCACAGAAAGCTGTTACTTAACTGTCCCTATTGGTTAAAAACAGAGCAGAAGTAAAATTGGTTTTTGTGTTTTTCAGAGAGTTGTTGTTACTGAAGCATTTTTCTGTAGCAATAGACCAGTAGCCCCTTCTTTCTGCCAATATGTGGTACTTTGGGCCTTAATACGTTAATTAAGGAGTTGGAATAGTCTGCATTCTAGAAATTAAATTAGAGGGCCTGTTGCATGGGGTGATTTTTAATGCTTATTGCACCCAGCTACAAAGGTGTCATGGATCTTGCCATGGTCAGGGGGCACCTCCATGGGAGAGTCTGCCTGAGGTCAGGTAGCAGGATCGTGGGTTCACTTACATCGCCAGATACAAAATCTTACGTGTGTGTGTGTGTATACTGGACAGGTACTCATGTGTCTGGAGCTTATACACAAAAGGTACTACGGTAAATTTCCTGAATCTTGTTTTTAGGTAGGAAGATTGTGTATGTTTTTGATGCTTGTAGCTACTTTGTAGGCTGTGCTTTGTGTTGTCTAGAAAGTTGCCTTCTCCTTTGGGAACATGTGTTTATATAGGGCTTTTTTAAACCTAAATGGGCTATGTAAATGGCGACAACTGATTTTGATTCAACACAGGTTAGTAAAAGTCAATTTCTTGTGTCAACAAATAAACAGGAAGGGTGTTTAGAAACAAACCCAGCAATATCCTCCTTCAGCTGCCTTCCAGCAAGTGAATAGTGACAGACTTCTATAAACAGAGCGAATCTCAGTGCGTAGGATCAGCACATACTTGTATGTGGGATCATCAGGGTAATCAGCGGGAGGAGAGCCTGGCCTTCCTGAGCAGATCAGCGCTTGAAGATCTCGGTGGGACTGAGGGCTCAGCCGTTACTCTGCTTTCCTGTGCCACAGCCTTGCAGAGCAACAATCCTTTTTATCTACCGAGAGAGGTGCCTCTCCTGTCCTTGTTTGCTGTTGGTCAGCCCCTGTTTCGTACAGGGGATGGTGAGACCCTGCGAGTGGCAATGCTGGTTTGTACTACGTTTGCTGGGACATCTTGAGTTCGTTTGACCTCCCCTGTACGTCACTGGATTGACTTGTGTTTCGCTAACTTGACTTGCAGTGCTGTAATATCTTGCTGTGTTTAGTTGTTACCTATTGGAAGACGTTTTCTGAAGCAAGGAAAATATTTATGATTAAGCATGAAGAAGTAGTGTGTAAGATGTTTATGTTTTCCATTTATCAGTACACTTCAGAGTGCTGCTTTCTGAAATTGCAATTCTGGACTTCATAGTCAACTTCACTGCGATGGTTTGTGCTGTGGAAGACTGCTAATTCTCTTGCCATATCCTTTATAGGCTGAAACAAGAGGAATTTGCTGCTTTTTAAATTGGGGCCAAAGAGTAAATTCACCCTATTTTTATATTCAAGCAGGCTCAGCTTAGGGGATTTAAGTGGTGTAATTGTATTGTAGTCGGCCCCACAACTAGTCCAACTGAAAAAAAAAATAATCTTCAAAGTGAATATTTTAGTGCTTCATGCAAGGCACATTGCTCAGTGTCTTGGGAAAAAGGAGTAAAGCTTTTCTTAGATATGTGAACCGTGGTCCATTGTTGGACATGTTTTCTAAGCTCCTGTACAAATCTAAACTGCACAAAAAGTAGAGAGAGCTAGCTCCCACGTTCTTAAAAACTGAAGTTTTATTCCTGGTTATAATGAGATGTTGCATCTATTCATGGGATTAAGTCCTTGAAAGAAATGAAGATGCATTAAATCAGATTCCCAGAAGGTTACATCATATTTCAAAATAAAAATATATTACTCAAAGAAGATGCGTAAGTTTGGAGGCTCGCTAACAGCACAAGGACTGACATGTCGTCCTTGTGCATTTAGGTTGGCTGCACGTCCATCTGACCAGACCAAAAATGTTGTTCCAGTGTCTCTTGATGCTTACTGGTGTGGATATGTTTGAATAAGCTTGGTTTTTTGGGTTTGTTTCCAGTGCAGATTGGAAGTATTAGGTCTTTTGTGTGGGGTGGGAGATTTGTTACCCGATGCCCGTAGCTGAACTGAGCATCTTTGGGAGGAGAAGGTGAGGTTTTCTCCTCTTGGTGTTTCCTGCAGGGTAACTGGTGGGTAGTGCTCTGCCGGTGAACCGTGCTGCTGCCCAGCTCCCCCCTTCACTTTGAGCATGTTGAGCTGTACAGATGTCTCAGAAGGTAGTTCAGCCTCTTTGTATTCTCCCTTGGTGAACTGGTAGAATTCTGTTGTGCGAGAGGGCAGTGGTGTGCTCACCGTAATTCATAACCAAACAACTATTAGCGTGATGTCTGTGTTCAGCAGCTCCTTAGTACGTGGGTTTCAAGGGGATAATTGAGCCAAATATCTCTGCAGCTAGACCCTGTGCGCAATCATCAGGCAGTAGGTATTTTTGGCTCTGGAGGCATCATTCATGTACCCATTCTGAGAAATGTCTGAGGGTTTATGTACTTGCAATCTTGATCTTTTGGATCCTCTGTAGTAGAAATTTAAGTCTAAATGCTCTTCTTGCCAGTTGAGTTTAGATGGGGGGAAAAATGTTGATTTTTGGTGGTGGTGGTTTTTTGCTGTGCAATTTTTATTGTCTTGTGTGGAGAGTATGGTAACATTAATATGCAGACCTGCCTCTCCCTCAGAGGAGTTTAGAAGTGGCATTGCTGAGGCGGAACTGAAGCTATCTGTGTAAGGGTGGCGGATGTTCTAGTAAATTTGAAGAAAATTTGCACCCAGTCTTCTATGAACACAAAACCAAAACCCCAGTTACCACTAAAAATGTGACACAGGATTTTGTTCTTTTGCTCTGGTTTCTGCGGGGTAAGAAAGGTATTTTCCTTTTTCTGTAAGGAAAATAGCAGTCTCCTTATGTCTCAACTATTCCATCAGCTGTGAGTAAGGTACCAAGATCAAATATGTTTCTTTAAGGATGCATAATGAAAAAACTTGTAAAAGTAAACAGTAATATACTTAGGGCTTGTGGCATTTCTTTGATCTCTTTGCTAATAGAATTACCCTGCTCTCCTACACTGCAAACAGGCACTTTGTGAAGATGTAGGATTATTTTCTTTGTCCCATTGTCAAAGTCTGCTATGAAAACCACAGAGGAGGATGTGAATGCTGTAACTTGGGGCTTGGCAGCTTCCTGACCTTTATAAAAGGCTTGCTCAGTGCTGTAATAGCTGGTTCAGTGCTGGCAAGGTGACAGACTAGATGAATTAACGGGTCTTTTCCGCCTCTTACGTGTCAGATTCTTTGTTTTATATGGAAATAATTTCTGTCAAAATGGGAAATGTATCATGAGGTACTTCCTCTGCCACTAAAATGAAAATGTCAACCACAGGTCTGTTGAATGTGTCTTCTGTTACAAAGCGCTGGTGGAGCCAGCTTTGTCCATTGATACCACCATTGTGTTCCCCCTGTGTTAACACAAAGTCAGGCAACTCCACTGGCCTGCGATAATAGAAACCTGTAATGGGAAGTTAATGATTCTGCCTGATTGTTTTCTGTGTGAGGAGTCAGGTCAGAATTTCTGAAATATTTACAAGCTATCAGAATTAGTGTCTGTGATGTGTCAATATGGTGGGTATGTCTGTTTTTAGGTAAATATATATACATCTGTACACTATATATGCATCTATATACATGTTATACATGCATGACTGTTGATATACCATGATGCCTGAAGAAACCCAAACCAATTTCTGTGTGTATTGACATTAGTGTGTCAGATAGTATAGGCTGTTAATATGAAATATCTTTGCATAAAGATGTAACATCTGTCATTGCTTGAAAGGCTGAATAGATATTACAGCATTACGGGGTTCTAACAGATTAAGAAGGTACCATGTGTCACGCATTACCCTGCTTTGCATTTTGATTTATGTCAAGCAGTGAATAATCCTGCATCTTGCCTGAGCAAAAATGGCACTGGGATAATTTTTCTGTTTGTTTTTAATGGGAGAAGACAATCATGGTAGCAGAAATTACCATGAATTACCAAGAATTCCAACACTTTAAGGTTGGGGGGGGGGCAAATATGGTGTTAAAGGTGGGGTTAATAAAAAGGGGTTATACAGCAGGTAGTGAACTGCTGAAGCCCGTGCAAACTTTGGTGGTGGTGGTATTGTTGTAAGCGGCGAACGCCGTGTTTAGGGGTGTGAAATTCAATAAGAGAAAGCGAAAATAACTCTTAGCCTTCTATTCCCTTCTTCAAAGTATTGCTAAGGGAAGTTTGGCAGGAGCTGGGACAGGAAATTGAAATCTGAATACTATTTTAAAGTGATAGGGTTAAAGGCCTCTCTTTTACGCTAGCACACTTGTTCTTTTATTTGATACTTGAACTCTGAAAATGTTCTGTGACTTTCTAGGGAGAAGGAGGAGCAGCTGACTCGGGTGACAGAGGTACAGAGGCTGCAGGCCCAGCAGGCAGATGCTGCCCTGGAGGAGTTTAAGCGGCAGGTGGAGCTGAACTCAGAAAAAGTCTACGCTGAAATGAAACAGCAGGTGAGAAGGTCACAATGCCAGCCTTTCTGAAACTCTGTCTCAGTAGGATAGCATATTCTGATCTTATAATGCCAGAAACATGCTTCACTTGAGAGTGCTACATCAAAATCTTTCACAATGTAGTGTCTTTGCTAGCAAGTCAGAAAGGGATGTTAGCAGTTGTTTCATCTTTCTAACAAAGCCAGGATTGTCATTGTTACAAAGGTATCTGCGGTTATGATACTGATTAGGGATTTTTCAGGAGTGAGAATATAAAGTGTTAGTTTATACACCCCTATGGAATAACGTTTGTAATTTTCCACTTCAATGTGCGTCTCTTCCTACTCTTTTTGGAGCGACTCTTGTCTCCCGATAATGAGGTTTTGTCATCATTTTGAGCCTAAACAGGGGCAGAGCCATTGTGGCTGCTGGCAGTCATGTGCAGAGGACAGTAAGATCCATTTTTCTGTCCCTGAAAATTAGTAACAGGAATTTATGTAAAAATATTTGTGTCTTAAATTCCATATGGAACAAACAAGGGAGAAACTGGTGTCCCTGGGATTTTACACATGCAGCACGATGAGTGAAATGAGGAGCAAGCAAGAGGTGATCAAAAAGAAGGGGAGAGAAGGGATTATTTCCTTAGCTCGCTCATGTGGTGGAAATCTCAGTACATAACTCAAGCTTGTAATTGCACCTGACCATATACTGTGTTTTCCAACCTCCCCTGTCATAACCAGACCTCATGGTGACAGGATGCTGCAGTCTGAGACTGTAGTGGATTACAAGGGATGCTGGCTTACAATTCAAGAAATTCTTTTTGTTGTTCTTGTGAAGTTTCTCTTCTGATCATCAACAAAAGTGAGAAATTAAGTAAGGCATTGCTGATATTTTCAAGACCCGTGCAGACAGCAAGTAATAGAATTTGGAAGTAAAAAAAGGCAAAACTAAACTTATAAATGCAAGAAATTTTCTGCAAACTAGACCCATGAGGGCAATACAATAAATCCTACAACTTTAATCTGACTTTTTCTGTGCCGTGGGACTCTCCTCCAACTTCTTCACAATGGTTTAAAATAATATCTTGTTTCTGCTCCAAAATGGATATAGTCTAATTCTAGAAGACTTAACAATAATTTCATTCAGTTGGGGGGTGTGTGTGGTGGGGGGAGATGGCAAACAACCCTAATCCAAAACAAAAAAAATGTGCAGAAGGATTTGGAAAAATTACAGTTAGAATATTGCTGTGTTCTAGGAAATTTTGAAAATAAATTTTGCTTTGCCCCCCGAATCAGCTGTAGGTTTATTCTGTCCCTACTTGCATGCTAAATTACAGAAATACTAGCTATTCTGCCGCTGAGCAGTACCGTTCTGCAGGAACCGAGATTGAAGAAGTGCATCAAAGAAACGCTGCTGAAGCCGTCTCGATAGCTTTGTCCTTTCCCAGTCTTCTGCTCGCACATGCTCTTTACGTAAATCACCCATTAGGTTGTGACATACTGGAAAATTCTTTTTTTTTGTGGTTAGGTGGAATGTATTACTTAGAAAGCAAAAACTGCAGTAGCTATAGCAACGCTGTATGCGTAAGTGCACTAGAAATACTGGGCTTCTAAAACGATTTTTTTGGTGTATGGTAAGGTTAATTATGGAGATAATTAAAATGGGGCCTGCCATTTTCAGTTCTTATAATCAATATTTGATTCATTACGTTGGCTCTGATATTTTTTTTGCCATCTGCTTCCTATTTTGTCAAGCTTGTGACTATTAAGAATCACCTGATGCCCATTGGTGGGCAAGTAGTACATTTTTCACCAAGATCTGCATTATTTTCTAATAGTAACTATCAAAAAGAAAAACAATACATAGGATAGGTCATGGGACTTGGATCTAGTGTTTCCCGAGTTTGGCAAAAAATGATCAAGAGCCCTCATTGCACTTGGAGGAAATACATGAATGTGACCTAGCGATGAAAGCACAAGAACCAGTAGAGTTAAAGCATCTTTGCATTATTTTGCTATTTCACTTTTAAAAATGTTTTAATTCTCATAAAAATAAAAATCCTTTAATAAAGTAACAAGATCCCTTATTTTCTTCTTTTAAAATTTAATTTTATTTTTTTATTCAGCTGAGTAAAATATGGCCTTGGACATGCAATTTGAATAATTTTGGATGCAGAAGAAATTATTCATAAAATATTCACTGAAGTCCCTTAATAGCAGATAGTTACAGTGAGGTTCAAAGCTGCTGGAAGGATAACTTGTTCCTTTCTATTCTATTTTTCTGCTTTCTATCTGGCCAACTGTTCCTAGTCCTATATCTTCCTCTCTTGCTGCAGTGTTTTCCAACAAAATGCTTTTCCCATTCTGAGTGCTGCCTCTTCTCCTCTAGAAGTGATGTCCAGACCGATTGGCAAAGACATCTGTTGGAGACAGAGCACTCCCTTAGGCCAAACAGGATTTTGGCTTATGGTTCAGGAATTTCATGCGTTTCTTCTTTTGGTGCAGCAGATGGACTTGCGGCAGCACTGGTCCTCCTGACAGCTACACCCTTTTCTGTCTTTTTTAGGGAGGTGGTTATTCTCTGCCTGTGTTGGGACCTAGATCTAAAAGTGATTCATGAGTATGTGCTGCAGCACAGGACTGAGTGTGTGTGTATATATATATATTCCGCTGGAAACATGCCTCATGGACAGCCAACAGTTGTGCTTTTGATACAAAAGCCTTTGTTAATTGGGTTATGAAATTGCTTCCTTGATGCTGTGCGCTGGAATCTGTGGGGCTCATTATTCATAGGCGATGACTATCTTCAGAGAACTTCACTTGCAGCCAAATAATTCTCTTTTAAGTTATTTTACTGATTTAATGTAAACTTACTTTAAATGAGTAGTTTGTGCACTGACTCACATGATTTCCCTTGAATTTTCACAGGCAATATATTTTTAAGTGAAATATGTTTGAGTTTTAAATATATCTGGAAGAAAACATTCACTTAATTTTGATGGGTTGTTCACCATTGTCAAGTGAAAAACTGAGCCAGTGCTTTGTAATCGGGGAGTGGCATGGTGTAGGTGATCACTGTGTCCTTAGGTAACTAACAATCCACTATTCACTGAGTATTCATTTTCACTCCATACAAACAGTATTATTATCATTCTCTGCAAGTTACATCCGTGTCTTTGATGGTTTGCAAACAACTGGAGAAACGTCAGGACATTTCAAGGTATGCCTTTTTCAAAAAAATTAAATATTCCCTTTCTTTTACCATGTAGGTGGAAAAGGTTGAAGCAGATCTAAGCAGATCAAAATCACTCCGGGAAAAACAATCCAAAGAATTCTCCTGGCAATTGGAAGAGCTCAAGCAGAGATACGAGCAACAGGTCAGTCGGTTTGCTCCTTCGGGTGGAGGGGAGGAGGGACATCTTTTCGTGCAGATGTAGGTCAGTTCCTGTTGCTCCCGTTGTGCATTGCTGTTCTTTATACAAAGACCAGATTTATAGGTATGCAGAGTTTATGTGATGGGGGATGGAGGTGGAAGGGTCTACACACACAATATTTTTGTTTCCTCTTTGCAATCCTTAGCACCTCTGTCCCTTTAAAATTTTTTCCCAGGCTTTACAGGTGGCAACACCTATTTTCACAATGGCCAGATGAAATTATTTAATGTTATCTGTTTTTCTTCTTGTCAAGAACCAGCGTTTTATTTTTTTTTATCATTTTTAACACGGGGTGTGTTCATCTGCATGCTTGTTTTGGCCCACTGATAGTGATTTTCTTTGCTGTAATGTAATTTCAGGGTTGGGAAACATTCAGGAAACATTTGGGTGGGGACGAGAAAGTTGAGTTCAGTAGTGTTGCGAAGTGCAAAGGGAAAAAAAGAAGTAGAAGCAGGCAAACTCTTGGATGACAGAGACTTGAGAGCTGTGCAGCTGAAACACTCTTGCACAGGGGGATACTTTGCCATGATCCTAAAGTGGTGTCTGTTCGGTAACGCCTGTTAAAGGATTGAATAAATTTTTAGTGATTGTACAGTTAGCCCATAAGCTTGAAGTTCTCTCTTATCAATGTTTTTGCATGGATATAAGTTTACATTTCCACCAGGGAAATGGGGATTCATTTCTGTTTATGTTCTGCGGTGGTAAGAGGATGAAATACTGCAGTTGGCTGGTGGCATGAGACTTGCTCTGGAGGGGGCTTTTTCACCTAATTAAGGCAAGGGGTCACTTTGGTAGGTGCTGAGAGAGACCTTCGCCTGTGCTTGGGAGGAACAATAGTGTGTTTTGTGCGTGGGGCTCTGAACTGAAGGGAGTTTGTTGGGTCGGATCGAAGTATTTCCTTACCCTCACTCAGAATTGCCAACGTTAGCTGTGTTGTCACCGGACGAAGCGTGAGAAGCTGTCCCGTGCTATAGGTCCGTCTCGCAGGCGTTTTGGTTTACTGGGTGGTGCTATGTGTGCTCCTTCTATTTAAGGATTCAGGAATAGTCCAGGTTGCAGAGATATTGGGGAGTTTTGTCTTGTAGATGGCCTGATTTGCCAAAAGAACAGTAAGAATTGTACCTCTCTGTTGTGATTTAGCATAATCTCTGGAAAAAAGCCTAGAAATCACAAATGTAGTCACTACTATGTAATCATGTCAATAGATTTTCTCCAGATTTATTCATGTGAAAGCCATTGCAGTACTGGCTGGCATTGGCAGTTGGATAGGTCAGTTAAAGGACATACTGAAGGGAGGACGATAGGTAGTGTCGGGGTTAGTCGGGCCCCCGCCCTAATGTGAATTTTCTTAATGGCATCTTATATTCACACCATTTCAGTGATATGGTTGGTTCACTTTTTTCTTTACAGTTCTCATAAATTGAAGTGCACCTTTAAAGTCCTAAGTAAGCATTTGTTCAACGATTTTGTTCCACGTTTAGGGACATGACCTATAGAGATAAGTACTAATCTGCAGTTCATCAGCTGTTAGGACACTCCTGTTCCTACCTAAAAATGGTAATGTTTTTTATTTTCAGTACCCATGACAAGAGCTACCAAGCCAGAGATACAATCTTCTGCCAAATAATCTGCTGGTTTTGCACACTAAAGGAAAATTATAATGCCTGGTAGTGTCATGGATTGTTTTCTATTTGTTTTCTTGTATTATCATGCCTATTACATTCAGAGCTTCTAGAGACTGGATCAGAAAATCCCAAACCACAAGAAATGAATGTGATACTTGAAACTGTTTTGGTGAATCTTTTTACATGGTATTCTGTGAAGTGTTGTTACTGTTGATATTGTGATAAACATCAGTGAAAGCGTTTCCCACTAAGAGGAGATGTTTACTGCTTCACTTTTATTCAGGATAACTCCTTTTTACTGTAAGAAAGAACAGCTAGACTTCATGAAACATCACTGAAACTCAAGGAAAGGGTTTCGGTACTAAATAGCTGAACAATGAAAGCCTCAGAAGACTTTTCAGAGGAATCCTATTTATGCCCTTTTTTAAAATTTATTTCTCTTCATGCTTCATTCGGGATGTACTTTGAAAGCTTGCGAACATGAAAAGTATGTGACCCCTCCTGCAGATTGCAGTGGGTTATCGCTGGAAACGACGTTCTTCATGTATTGTCATTTCTGCAGAACAAAGCTCCTTCAGCCCAGCCACAGAGCGGTATGAGCTCAGTTCTTCCACTCTTAAAATTTCCTTTCAGTAGCTCCAACTTCTGTTTCTCTGTATTACTATTTATGCTTCAGAACTTCTAAACCATTTTTAAAGCAGACTTTTCTTTGCCTTGTTTTACTGCATATTTCTCTGGCAGTTACTTGGGGAGGAATAGACTGATTTAAACTGTTTAAACAGAGCAGTAAATTAGAATTTGCGGTGGTTTCAGCAGAGCTCTAGCAGCCTCCCAGTCGGGAAATAGATACCTGACCAAGAACTGGATACTTTAGTTACCTGAGAAATGTAATAATTGCTTTGAGATATTCTGCCTCAAGTGTCGTCTGAATCTACTTGTCAAACAGAATGTATACACGAAGGGAAAGAAAATTGACCTTCAGATACATTTTGCGTGGGTTGGCGTGGTGAGTGGCAGAGGTGGTGCTGGCAGCATACTGGACAATTCAGTTGCCAGTAAATTTAATCAAGTTGGTAATGAAGAACCAAATGAATGGGTGTGTGAATCCAGTTCTCCAACCCGAGAAGTATCTTGGAAGCGTAGGAACTTGAGAGCTGTGGTTTTACCTCTCTGCTTTATATGAATGGTTGCCTGTGCTTCACAGGGCTCTCCTTGAATTTTGGTTTCAAAGAGATTACTGATACGAATGTGGACTCTTGGTTGTGGGCTCTGCCTACAGATTAGGTATACTGGTATATATATGTTCGTATCAATACATAACCTGATATATATTGAGATAGATCTCATTTTTTACTACTTGAAAAAGAATTAGGAAAAAACATACAAAACTGTGGCAGTTAACATTTTGTTAGCTTTTCAAATGCATTTGAATCCATTAATACAGTGCAGAAGAAATTTTGGATCTTGTGGTGTTTGGTTTCAGCTGTCGTGTCACTCCTGGTTCCTGCTTCATCTGATCCAGTGCCACTTTCTTTTGAAGTGTCCACTGAGAACACTCTTAGGGAGAAACTGGTGGATTTTTTTTTTCTTTAAATATACTTTAGCTCAACTTTGTTCTACTTGCAGCTGTTAGATTTGAAAGTGTATTTTGAAGAAAAAAATAACTCCAGCAGCACCACAGTTCCTATCTGCTGGGAGCAGCTGCTTTCGGCACTTCAAAGCCTGTGGACACCACAGCGAAGGCCTCAGCCTTTCCTGCCTTTGAAATGGTTGCAGTATCTGTACTCGGGCTTTACAGCACCGTCAGCGCAGGAAAAAAGATTGTTTGGTTTTTTACACCCCCTCTCTTTTCTTTTTTTCCCCTTGCTTTCTAATTGCATCCTCGGTTTAGCTCGAAATACCTGGAAGTGTTTCTTCTGAAATAATTTTCCACAGGCCCGAACGTTTGAAAGAGGAAAAAGGTTGTGCCCAAACTTCGCAGTAACGGATTGTAGGCAGGCAAATTCGACAGAGAAGTTAATGAATTTGCCTTTTTTCCCCCACATCCATGTTGTTTGGGCACCTTCCGGGAGCACGCCTATCGGGGCGAGCTGTGCTCCCACAGCAGAGCGAGTGAGAGCAGGGCTTCACGCAGGGACGTTTCACAGCAAGGTCGAGTATGTACTCGCCTTCGTTTCAAGTCCATTTTCATACATTTTCTTGAATGGAAGTCTTTCAGTGACCTTTTGGAGATCTTAATTTTTAAATGGCATTAGCTGTTTAAAAAAAAATATGGTAATATTTTTTTATTGACCTTCAGATACATTTTGCGTGGGTTGGCGTGGTGAATAAAAAATATGGTAATATCTATGGTAATAGATCGCTATGATCAGTGTTACACCTATTTTTTTGCTATAAATAGTTGCTGAAGTCCTATAACTGAGTAATTGTGAAAAAATTGGGATGCCAGGTTAGTAAGAGAACCAAGGTCTACGAAACTTCATTTTCCTAGCTGGGAGAATGCACTATGGAAAGTTGATGAATTATTGTGTTAGCGGGGTGGTGTTACTTGCTGAGTTACGGACATAATTTCTGATATCAGATGCCAAACTGAACGTATAAATAAGCCTTTTGTTTTGGTTTGTCTTTAATAGTGTTTATTCTGTTTTAAAATAATAATTATTCATGCTTCCACAGCAAAGTGGAAAGCTATCACATGATAGCTGAGGAAACTCCCTGTATCTCAGGAAATCCTTTCTTGCGACATTTACTGTTGGATTCTGCCTTCTGAACAACTTGTGAAGGAATAATTAGAGTTGAATTCTTGTCCTATTTAGCCAAATATAAAAGAAACAGGACCCCCTCAGAAATATTTTACTGGATATTTCACAAAATCACTTTGAAATTATGTTAAAGATGAGAGAAATAGTCTGCACTTTTAAGTTGGGAGCAAGACAAAGGTGTGGTTGAGCTTAAATATGCTGTTTTATATTAAATAGAGAGAGGTAAAGAAGTGCAGAATCAGCTGGATAAAAGTGAAAAAAGCATGGCTGTAATCTTACCTGCCAGCAGCAAGGATGAGTATCCAAGGTAATGTTGGGAAATTATTCTGATTTTAGCAGTGTGCTGGAGCAGAGGAAAATACTATTAGGAGGAGAGGAAGAATATTCTTTAGACTTTCTGTATGTCTTGTCTTCTGTGACTTTCTAGTGAGGTTAATTTAAAGAAATGAGTGAGGTTATCTCTGGTGAAATATGAATTTTGTTATCACAACCATTCTTTTTATACATAAGGGTATATATTTAAAAACAGGCATCTTACTCAGTGCTAGCAGCACCA